GCAGTAAGTCAGACTTGTTTCCGGTGCATGTTGGACTCCGGCAGGGCTGCCCTTTGTCACCGGTTCTGTTCATTATTTTTATGGACAGAATTTCTAGGTGCAGCCAGGGGCCGGAGGGAGTCCAGTTTGGGGACCACAAGATCTCATTTCTGCTTTTTGCAGATGACTGTTGGCTCCATCAAACCAGGACCTCCAGCGTGCAATGGGGCAGTTTGCAGCCGAGTGTGAAGCGGCTGGGATGAGAATCAGCACCTCCAAGTCCAAGGCCATGGTTCTCAGTCGGACAAGGGTGGCTTGTTCCCTTCAGGTTGGTGGAGAGCTCCTGCCTCAAGTAGAGGAGTTTAAGTATCTTGGGGTCTTGTTCACGAGTGAGGGAAGGATGGAACGGGAGATTGACAGGTGGATCAGTGCAACTTCTGCAGTAATGCGGTTGATGTACCGGCCCATTGTGGTGAAGAAGTAGCTGAGCTGTAAGGCGAAGCTCTCGATTTACTGGTCGATCTACGTTCAGAGTCTCACCTATGATCATGAGCTTTGGGTCATGACCGAAAGGGCAAGATCCCCGGATACAGGCAGTCGAAATGAGCTTCCTCCGCAGGGAGGCCGGGTGCACCCTTAGAGATAGGGTGAGGAGCTCAGTCACCTGGGAGGAGCTCAGAGTAGAACCGCTGCTCCTCCATATCGAGAGGAGCCAGCTGAGGTGGCTTGGGCATCTGTTTCGGATGCCTCCTGGGCGCCTTCCTAGGGAGGTGTTCCAGGCAAGTCCCACCGGGAGGAGGCCCCGGGGAAGACTCAGGACATGCTGGAGGGACTATGGCCGAGGAACGCCCCAGCGTTCCCCGGAGGAGCTGGAGGAAGTGTCTGGAGAGAGGGAAGTCTGGGCATCTTTGCTTAGACTGCTGTCCCCGTGACCCGGGTCTGGATAAGCAGAGGAAAATGGATGGATGGATGTGTGCTGTGTGTAAATGGAAAGATTCTGGTGGCTTTCTATTGCTCCCCCACCCGCATACCCTCTTCCCTCACTGGCCAACACTTGCTATCACACCAGAACCACAAACATTCACACCCAGACAACCATCTGTTTGACCTGTTGCCCTCTGGCAGGCGCTACAGGTCTCTCAAAACCAGGACCACTAGATTTCTGAACAGATTTTTTTCTAAGGCCATTCATGCTCTCAATAATCTAAACAAATGACCGAATTTAACTAATAAGGCAGTAACACATCCTGTCTAATCATCTGAGAGAATCTGTGCAATAATTTTTATGCCATTCATTAGGCAAATAAGTTCCTCACTTTGGCACTGTTAAAGATGTGCATTTATTTTACATGTATATTTATTAGGTCTTGTGTGTTCATGTTTTTAGACATTGACAAGGAGTAGCACTCTCAATTTCATTGTATTTGAACAATACAATGACAAAGGTTTCTTTCATTCATACAGTTCCAGTAATATTTATCTTGGCCACTGTGTATTTTTAGCTGTATCTGAATCTTTCTGTACCTTGGTGCTAGCCACTCCTATCTCAGGCCCAGCATTGATGTGTACTCCGCAGTCTGTTTCTCTACAAATAGAACTGCCCACAGTGTTGGTTACACCAACTGTCAGAGCACTGTGCTCCTTGCAGTAGTGCAGTGCCATCAGAGTGTCTGCTGTCTCTCCTGTGGGAGTGGAGGGAATAAAAAGATGTTTACACAATGCAGAATAACAGCATGACAAAAAGTTGAAAAGAGGATGATATTGGCCGTGAGATTTCACTCAAGACCTACCGTAACAGTTTAAAGCAAGTCTTTCTTTAAAGCCATTTCCATGGTCAGAATTGTGTTAGAAACAAAAGAAGTGAAAAATATATGCACTGACAGCCTGTAACAGCAGGTCTGGATTTTTTGTGTGCTGTCACCTGACTGACTGATGAAGAAGCAAACGTCATCTCTGAAAACGGGCGTGTTGCGGTCCAGGAAGTCACTTGCCAGCTCCACCATGACAGGCAGCTCTGTGAGCTCCTCAAGGATTTGCCTGGTCTGTAAAGTAGATAAACAAAAGCAGCTCACCGTCACCAATCATCATCATTTTCTTCTTTACTACTCTTATCACAAAGAGTAATTTCATGTTTTGAGCTTTATTTTTATCATCATCACTATTACCCAAATTTTTTGTTTCTCAACTCACAGCAACTGCAGCGTGGAAGCTCGTACCACAGGCAATCATGATTAGCCGTCTGCATCGTTTGATTTCTTTCAGGTGGTCCTTCAGCCCACCGAGAACCACTGTGGAAACACAAGGCAAGACAGTTACATTACTTCAACCAGTATAATAATGATTTAATCAGGATACAACTTCATAGAATATATGATAGTTATCATTAATAGCTTCTGTTCACATTTACACAACTTTACCTACAGATGTTATCTTGCATGTATTATCTACAGTTTACAGGTAGACACCTACAGTATGGTTTTCATATTTGAGATAATTTGACATGTACATACTAGTAGTGGTTATTCTGTTATAAAGCTGGAAGATATGAAAAGACACAATACGGTGTTCCAGTAATGTGTAAATAAATGTTTTGGTTTCTGGTTACAATTTGTCTTTCAAAATTCCACATTGAAATAGATGATTATAAGATAGATAATGAACAAGCTGCAGATCCTGTGTGTATAGCCTGAATTAGTCCCTGCTGATACTGATTCAGTGGATCAGGGACTAGTGCAGGTGCCCTGCATAATTTAAATATTAAAAGTAGGACAGGGTAGAAGATCACCTGTGTTGGTGTCAAAACATATCCGGCCTCTCATAGTGTTGACTACCGACTCTGGCTGCTCAAAGATCTCCTTCTGCATGAAAGCATCAAAGTTACCTGCAAAAGGAGGAATATACATGCATCAGGGTATCTGGTAAATGAAAAAGGCTGAAACACCAATAGCAGTATTATGTTTTGACTTTGTTAGCCAGCAGAGGGCGAGCAAGTATACTAACAAGACTTGATCTGTAGGAGAGACTGTGTTGTTAGGACTCTTTATAAACTCTGATATCATATATGTTTAATCATTTACTTTTAAGCTATACTGGTTGAGGAAACCAAACAAACAAAAAAAAAAAATAAAGGCAATGAATTGCCCTCACATTCACCAGATGCCCAAACTGTGTTTCTGAACATTATTTGACCTTTCATGATCTGTTGCAGCTCCATCTGTAGGGTCTGGACTGCCCGCACCGGGTCCTCTCCAGCCTGCCGGTTCACCCTGTGGATGGAAAGTTCCCCTCCACGCACCACTGCGATGTCATTGTCCTCCAGGTACAACACCTTGTTTGTGTGTTCAATTATGGCACTGCGGTGTAGAAGGAAGATGGATAAACATGAGATATGATGATTATATCCACTAATGTGTTTATAAAACTTACAAAACCTGCTTTTTGTTTGAAATTATTTTTGCTGATTCTTACTTAATAAATATAGTAGCATTAAGAAAGGAGGAATTCAGTGACATTAATAAAATGACAAATGAGAATTCAATTAAACTGTCCCAAACTGGATTCACCACAAAATGCAGACTAACTGGTTTCTCACCTGGCATCAGAGGCAAAGTAATACTCCACTGCCTTGCCATCCCCCTCAGAGCTGGAGCAGTTGGGACGGTTATGGCTGTTCTTCTCCTGGACTACCTCCTTGAAGTGAGCTACAGGGTCAAAAGTCACAAGCCCAGGATGAGAGGTTGACTTCGAATGGCTTGGACAACTGAGATAATTCTTCCTCTCAACTTCCAGATGTAGTAAGGTTACTGCTTTGACAATGGCGCTGTTATATTGTGAAATTCAGATTTTTTTCATCCAACCAAAACAAAAGTATTATTATTATTATTGCTTTGTTTTAACAAATTAAGAATAAGTGAAAGTGTGTTTAATATTTGCAGTCTGATTTTTATTTAATTGTGTTGAATTTGTTAGTCACATTTTCAGCCATTAAAACAATACACCTGGCTTGGTTCCCTCTTGACCCTATAAACCACAAAACCCTGACTTGGACTTTGGACCATGTCTCAACTGAGCCATAAACAACTATAAATTTAAATGAGCAGATAAGAAAACGAAGATACAGTCCTATACATGGCAGAAACAAAACCAGCAGGCAGTTGCTAACAATCATTACACACTGAAGTCTCTGGCAACACATCAGGAAAAATGGCTCTCTTTTTTTTTTTTTTTTTTTAAGAATTTTTGAACAATAAATATCAGGACCACAAAATATCTTTTAGTACTTCCTGTTACCCTCGAGAATCATTTAGACTGAGTTAGTGTGGATGGCATACATCTGAGAAAATAGCTAAAGCATCAATACACTGAGAAAGTGAAGAGAAAATGCTCCCTTGATAGGAGACATGTTTAAAGCTACTGCACTGTATAAGGTGTAGTGTGTGAGGCCTCTCTAGGTTTGGAGGGCTGTAGTTAAGTTTGACTGTGAAATACTAGTTGGTGACTTTCTGTATGTCTTGCTGAATTAGTGTTACAATTACAATTGGTAATAACCCATTAAAAGAGAATTTTAACTATTTACTTTATTTCTACGTGAGGGTAAATGTGACTTGCAGTAAAGGAGAGTCATCCATAGTGACACACATACAGACAAATACAACAGTGTAATACTACAAAATACAAAAAGGCACATTGCTCCATATTCACATCATCGCTTTGGAAATTCAGTGTACAAGTGAAAATCATGATTTGTGCAACATCACTATGACCTAATCATGCAAATGATGGCTGCTGGGACAAAATAATTTTCATACCAGTTTGTTCTACACTTTGGGATGAGAAAAAAAAAAACAGAGGGGAGAAGCTGAAACTTGTTGTACGAGGGGTGTGTGTCGTCATTCAAAACGGAGCCAGATAAACACTGTCTAGTATACAGGGCTGCTAGGTCAGTCAACTTACTAGCCCACCTGACAATATGACTCAGAGAAGTCCTGCTTTTCAAAAATAAGAAACCAAACCATGATACCAAAGAAAAAGTCTTTCTGGTAAATTATTTTTCTAAATTCCATGAAAAGCTCAACAATGAATTGACTTTTAAAGCTGTCGCCTCTATAGCCAGAGCCTGAAATGGCTTATTCCCCTGTGTTATATACTTCAAAAATCATAAAAAAACATCACTAAGCCACACTGTTGCACTTTTTAACATGGGCACTACAGTTTATTTAGACCACCCTGCTGCTGTAAATACTCACTGCCGCCATATACTAGAGGCTGAAAATAGTCCCCAACAAATATTTACTTCAGTTTGCATTTGCTCGAAACTGCAGTGCCTGTCTGTTTTAGAAGACAGGCACTGCAGGGGGGAGCTAATATAGAACGAGTATATGAAATTAAATTTCTAGGTATCATAGTTGATGATAAATTCGCCGGGAAATCTCATATCAGATATGTTCAGCACAAAATAGCAAAAAACATATTGATATTGGCAAGGGTTAGATATTTTTTGGACGGGAAAGCACTACGCATTTTGTATTCTTCATTGATTTTACCATACTTAGAGTATGGCGTTGAAAACTGGGGAAATACATACAAAAGCTCACTTCAACCATTGTATATATTACAAAAAAGAGCGATAAGAATTGTGCATAAGATGGGGTATAGGGATCACACCAATGTAGCTTTCATACAGTCTAAATTGTTAAAATTTTTTGATTTAGTGGGATATAAGACTGCTGTGTTTATGTATAAAGCCAGGAACAATTTATTACCTGGTGGAATTCAAAAACTATTTAATGAAAGGGAAGGGGGATACAATTTAAGGGGTCAGTTAAATTTAAAAATTCATGCTATACGTACAACCAAAAAAAGATTTTGTATTTCCATAAGTGGGGTAAAACTATGGAATAATTTAAGTGTGGACATAAAAAATAGTAATAGAATTGACGAGTTCAAAC